TGGGGAAATGGTTGAACATGGCGTAATAAGGGTGCTGGAACCTGGTTTTGGTGTTTTTCGCTATGTTCTGAGCTGGTCATGAGAGTTTCGAGTGGGCTTGGATTCTTGTTTGGCTTTCTGGGTTTATTTGAATGGTCGACGCTTTGTTTGAATCATCGTCTAGTTCATGTTTAGGTTAGAATCATCGTCGCCTATTTGAATTGTCGTCGTTTAGCCTTAACTTTTACTCGACTAAGCTTTTTTAACAACTTTAGGCACCGAACTAATTTTGTCTCCCCTCTCGACTTATAGGATATTGACCTTAGATTTTTCCTTCATAGTAATGGCACCTAGAAGGAGTAAACATCGAGGGGGATCATCGTCTGTGCCCCTTGTAAGGTCGGATCCTTCTCCAGCCGCCGAGTCTTCCTCCCTCTCTACCAACAACAATCTGATTTTGAGGGAGGTCGAGGATTATATCCCAGATCCTCGGGATGATGAGGACAGCGTCGACCGCCTGGTTGAAGGCGAGCCAGATGAGGGGGAGCCTTCCACGTCTAGCGCCTCTGATTCCTTGGTCGGCGGTGTTATCTCTAGCTACAGCGGACGACACCTTGGTGTCCCCATGGCATCTGTGGGGGCGGATGAGGAGCGGCCGTCATTCACAGCCGGCTTCATGGTGCCAAAGACACGATAGAGAGACATCGTCCGTGCGTACAAGGAGGGACGTGTGGATGGATGATGGTTCGAGTACCTCCTCCCGGACCCTAACTTCAGGGCAAGCCTATCGGCCCCAGGGTATCTATCTGTCTATACCCGGGTCTTCATGGCGGGGATGACACTTCCCATCCACCCGTTCGTGAAGGGCCTCTGCGAACTCCACGACATTTCCCCCACACAGCTAGCCCCAAATGTTTGGTATATCTTATCCGGCATGTGGGTTCTTTGGGACCAAAGGTTCGACGTGGATTTGCCTTTGGACGAATTTCTTTTTGTATATAAACTTTGCGAGGTCCTTAAGTGCGACGGCTGGTATTTTTTAGGTAGTCACGGGCGATCCAAGCCCATTTTAGAAAAACTAATAAAAGGGATTGCCCTCGTTGTCTCATGCTTGGTAGCCAATGTTTTTTATGGTCAGGGGTATGTTCGACGTCCACCCCACTGACAAACCTTTTAAGCGCCTAGGGGTGCGGACATCTTTTGAGACACTGAGTAAGTATCCTCGACCGCATATTATACAGCTGACATTATGCTTTTACACCGACCTCATGTATCCTCAACTTCATGTCTTTATGTGCAGTTCCCCAGGACCACCCTCAACTTTTTGGGATTCGGCTTGCAAGGGTGACGGAAGCTTTCAGCTTCCTAGAAAACGAGCATCATATTGACACTCTGTTGACGCGGGAGAATCTAAGAAACTCTGGCCTTCTGCTTTCACTCCCTTACCCTACAAACACCAATACGGTCAAGGACTTCTTCCATTTTACAGCCGGAGGTTAATGTCTTCCCCTTGCACTCGATTCATTATCACCTGTCGTTTGTCTAATTACTTGGCTTTGATTGTGATGCAGAGATGAATACCTTGCAGCTGCGAGTTCCGGGCGACAAGGGGCGCTCAAAGAAGCAGAGGCCTCGCGAGAGGTCGAGTGAAGCCGCCGAGGCCAGCGCCCCGCCGAGGCCTCTGCCTGTGGCGGAGCCTGTGACAACTTAGGAGACGCCGGGGCCCAAGAGGCCTCGCTCGGCTGAAACACCATTAGTGGAGGCTGAGCCAGTGCCGGTTATTGATATAACCGACACTCCTG